GAATGGGAAGAAATGAGGGGGGACCGCCCCCCTCACTCCGTCCTCTTTCTTCCCGGGGCTGGGCTCTGACTCCTGATTTGATTGGTGGTCGACCAGAGATCGCTCGATGCATTTGTGTATGCTGAGGTCCTGTCGTGCTTCCCTGGCGAGCGCAGCTTGAGGGTCCCCAAAAGCTCTGGTGCGAGGTGTTTCAACAAATTTCACAAAACGATGCTGAACCACGTGCTGTCGAAGTTCTGTCAGAAGGCGGCCTCTGGCTCTTTGTATAAAGAGATCAAACTGAATGACGCCGCACACGTGGTGCACGAGCTCCCCTACCCAGCCAAGGCGTTGAACGACCCCTCTGTGACAGATGCGTGGACGTGTAGGGCTGCATATAACGCAACTGGTCAGATCAGAACAAACGACAGGGTTCTCTTTCCGTGGGAGGGGCAGACGCGCCTAGGTCGAATCATTTACTTTGTGCAAGGTAGGAGATGTGACTCAGATTTGTTTTGGGCCTATGTACAGTTGCACGAGCATGTGGGGGGGACTGCTTGGCAAGCCAGGGGCGGCTCAACCAAGCTTCTAGTTCCGCTTGCGACAGTGAGGACTGTCACGTGTTTGGCTCGTGGGAATGTGCTACATGTCCGGATGCCAATCGCTTGATCGGGCAGAGCGTCGGCCACCCCCCCTCTTATCCCCCCTAATCGCGTGACCACACATCGAAACATGCATGCGTACGCACAATCGTTCACCCAGGGGGGGAGGGGCAGAGCCACGATAGAGCTGGCGTCTTCGGGCAGTAGCTGTCAGGCTGACTAGGGGATCGTCTGACTTTGAATTTGATGCACGACGATTGTTGCCACGTTGTAAAAATGAGAAAACTCAGAACAGAGGCGGCGGGCATTCCAGCGAAGCAGAAACGATGTTCACCCCCGTCCTCCTACCTCTCCTATCCTTCTCCTGCCCCTCCTCCCCCCTCCCTGTCTTCCTCGTCCTTACCACCATCCTCCTCTTTGCTACTCTCTCTCTCTCTCTCTCTCTCTCTCTCTCTCTCTCTCTCTCTCTCTCTCTCTCTCTCTCTCTCTCTCTCTCTCTCTTCGCTATGCGTGAGGATGCGTTTTTGGTGGCGGGCGCGAGCGAGTAGGGCCAACCCCGCGAGCATCCCAACATTGCTCAACCATGTCTGGCCGCCTTCCCTGGGGGACGAGATGAAGAATGCTCCGGAGAGGCCTTTCTATACAGAAGTCCGACGTCCGAAGGTCCTTGGGAGCCCCTGAGCGAAGCCCAAAACCAAAGCCAAGCAGTCTCCTTAAGAGCCTCCCTAGCAAGTTGAAACCAAAGCCCCCCCTGTAGAACTCGCGACGATGAAACCTTCAGAGAGTCTGGAATTCATTCGATCCAAAAAGACAAAACAATTCGATGTTGCCACTGGTGATGGGGAACACCCACAAACAAGCCCCTCACCCCTCATACCCTCCTCTCCCCCTCCCCCGCTGCCGTTTTGGCTCATCGTCGTTGAGGCCACAGACTGAGAGCCCCCAGCTCTGTTGTCGCTGTACTACACTTCGGACGCTGGTGGACAGAGCTAGTTGTTCCAATGGCAATGAGGCGCCCTGCTGCTGCTGCCACCCTGGCAAAGCGGCCCTCTGGGTGCGATGCTGATAGCATGGGCGCGGCGTCAGAGGAAGCAGGCCCAAGGCTCAAACGGCCCAGTGCCAAGTCGCCCCTGATTCAGCATGCGTTCGCTTCAAGCCAGCTCGGGAGCCCCATCGATGACGTCGCTTCTCTCGCAAGTGGACAGGCTGCCGCTGACTCTGACGACACCCAAGCTGCCTCTGACCACCAAGCTGCTTCTGCCCGCCTTCCGGAGGCTGGCATGCCTACGACTCTTGCGCCCGGAGGAGCGTCGTCGCCCAGAGAGGAGCCTCCCCAGCCAGAGCAAGTTCCTGAGCCTGTGCAGGAGGACGCGCGCCTGTGGTTTCCAGCGCTGCCTTTGCTGGAGAAGCTGGTCAAAAAAGTCGAGGTCCCCGAGCGAGCCATCAGGGTGAGTTTCCCTTGTTGCGGCATCATGGGGACAAGGCCTGTGTTCGAAGCTGCTGGGCTGAAGGTCGAGAGCACGAACGTGTACGAAATCGAGGCGAGCTACGAAGGTCTCATCAAGAGCTTGACGGCGTACGAGGAGAATTCGACAATGCCGCGCATTGGTCTTGCCACTGGCGACTTGATGAAGACGAAGCTCGAAGACGTCTACCAGTCCGAGGTGATCATCGGGGGACCCCCATGCCCTCCATGGGCTGGAAATGGCAAGCATGGCAGCAGCACCGATTCGAGAGCGAACATATACGAGCAGTGCATCAAGTGGATCCTACACTCGATCGACAAGAAGCACCTGCAGGCAGCGTGCCTGGAGAATGTCACTGGCATCATGCAAGAACAGAATGGGTGCCAAGCCTACTTGCCGAAGGCCCTGGAGTTGTGCGAAGCCGCGGCGCCCGACTTCCATTGGGACATCATCACCCTGAGTGCCGATGACTACGGCCTGCCGCAATCAAGGACTCGGGTCTTCCTCCGTTGTCTGAAGAAGGTGCACGCCGAGAAGATGCCAGATGCTTTGCCCCCCCTCGGCAAGAGCAGCCTGGCAAGTTTCCTGGACCCAGCGGAGAAGAACATCAAGCGCTCTGATATCTCTACGTCTCACATGCGCGACAACCTCTGGGACTACGAGAGGATCATCAGGAAACGCAAAATGCAGAAGACGGAGTTCCAGAACGGTGAGATTGCTTGCGTTACCCTGGATAGGAAGGTTGACTCTTCTTTTGCACAGATAATGTGCGACAAGACGCCTACTTTGACGACAAGCTTGAGCCACCCCTTCCTGCTCAGCACGCATGACCTGCACATGCCCGCTACGAAGCGCCAGGTCTTCCGCTGGCTCACCGACAAGGAGCGCTTGGCGATCCAGGGTTTCCAGCCGCATGCCATCGCAGAGCATCTGCCCGAGGGAAAGTTGCGTTTCGCGGCTGGGAATGCTTACCCCTCGGTTTTAATTGGCGCAGCAGTGCTGCCGTTGTTTCAGGCCATGGCGACGAGTGGCCATCTTGGCGCCGCCCCGCTCCCAGGCAGCAAGTGCGGCACGCCAAACATGGCCACGCACAGTTTCAAGGTCAAGCTTCGCGCGCTGGGCAAGGGGGCAGGAGCAATCGGCTCTCCTGCCAAGAAGAGGCGTGTGGCCTCGAGCCCGGCGAAGCGCCCAGCGGCAGCGGATCGCTAAGTCGATCCTGGTCCTGCCTGCTCGTGCTCTCTTTCTGCCTCTCTCTTAGCAAGCCAATCCAGCCAATCCTCCTTCCTCCGTCCATCCCCCTCCACACTCTGAATAAGCTGGTCTTCGGCGCGTCAGCCCTGTCTGCGACGTCTCTGCGACGTCGAGCGCTGCGAAAACGTTCGAAAACACAGGGATTCATGGCGATGTGGAATCGTTCTCAGGGCCTGGTGTTTTTCCTGGAATAAAGTTTTTCATCCCTGGGGCCTGGAGGTTTTCGTCCTGGAGTCCTGGAAATGGCCCGGGCGGCCTTCGAGAGGGGCCAGGGAAAACATTCGAAGGTCAGCGTTTCCGAAGAGAACGATTCCGAGGGGAACGATCCCAACGACAAGAAGAGGAAGAGGACGGAAGACGGGGAGTGGAAAGGGAGGGAAGGATGGGGAGAACGGAAACAATGCGAATATCTCGAACGCCTTTCGGCAATCTGCCGCCTGCCCTAGCGATCTTGGGGCTCCGCGGATCAAGAGGCATCCACGACGGCTCAAGAAACATCCAAGATGGCTCCAGAGGCATCCAAGACGGCTCAAGAAACATCCAAGATGGCTCAAGAGGCATCCAACACGGCTCAAGAAACATCAAAGCTCAAGAAGCAGCCAAGACGGCTCAATAATCATCCCAACTCAAGAAGAGGAGGAGGAGAAGGAGGAGGAGGAGGAGGGGGAGGAGGGGGAGGGGTAGGAGGAGGAGCAGGAGGAGGAGGAGGAGGAGGAGGAGGAGGAGGAGGAGGAGGAGGACCAAGGAGGGAGGAAAATCAAGGGCAGGAGGGGGACAGGAGCAGGAGAAGGAGGAAGGGATGAGGAGGGGGAGGAGGGGAGGGAGGAGGAGGAGGAGGAGGAGGAGGAGGAGGAGGAGGAGGAGGAGGAGGAGGAGGAGGAGGAGGAGTGGCGGTCCCCGCTGGGGGTCGTCTTTGAGGATTCTTGAGCCGTCTTGGATGTTTCTTGGGCCGTCTTAGATGTTTCTTGAGTCGTCTTGGATGCTTCTTGAGCCATTATGGATGCTGTTGAGCCATCCCGGATGCTTCTTGAGCCATCTTGGGTGCTGGTTGAGCCGTCTTGGATGCCTCCTCCTCCTCCTCCTCCTCCTCCTCCTCCTCTTCTCCTCCTCCTCCTCCTCCTCCTACTCGCTCCTCCTCTCATCCGGTTCCTCGTCTCCTCCTCCGTCCTCCCTCCTCCTCCTCCTCCTCCTCCCCTCTCCCTCCTCCTCCTCCTCCTCCTTCCTCCTCTCCTTCCTCCTCCTCTCCTCCTCCTCCCTCCTCCCCCTCTCCCCCCCCTCCTTCCTCCCTCCCCCTCCTCCCCCTCCTCCTTCTTCGCCCTTTTCAACATCGTTCTCGTCCCCCTCCTCCCTCCCTCTTCATCCCCTTTATCCTGCTGCTGCTGCTGCTGCTGCTGCTGCTGTTGCTTCTGCTGCTCCTCCTCCTCCTCCTCCTCCTCCTCCTCCTCCTCTTCCTCCTCCTCTCCCTCCTTATCATAATTTTTCATTGTTTAAAGGGTTCTGCAAAAACCCTTTAAACAGTTATGAAAAGTTATGAAAAGTTATGAAAAGTTATGAAAAGTTACGGAAAATATATATTCACTTACGAAAAGTTACAGCATTTTATGTTGAGTTAGCAATTACTTATAATGTAGTTAGCGCGCACTTGTGTAAGTCGTTCGTAACTCAATTCTGTAAGTGGGCCTTAACCCTGTTATAAGCGCACAACCGCAAAAACAATGGAAGCATGGCGGTTGTGTACTCATCGTCCGTCTCAGCGAGACCGCGCGCCTGGCAAGCAGCCCTGAAGTCATGGGCGCGGGCGTCTTCTGGAACGCCTTCAATGCGTGGAGCGAGGTCGTCCCGCGACGCAGTTCCGCGGACGTGCAGGAGCAGCAAGTGCAGATGCCACCGCTGGCCTTCGGCGGGCGTGGACGTATGCAAACGACCAAGGACGTCGGTCGACGGTGTCTTCCCAGATCGGCGTTTCCATTTCGCGGAGCCTCGGTCCCACGTGAAGTACCTGGGCACATCGACGTAGAGGAGGTCCTGCGGAGCCGGTGCCTGTCCATCTGGGGGGGGGGCGGAGTTGAGCTCGAACCATGCTGTCAATGTGGTGTGCTTGCCGTCGCTGAGCGCCTGCGCTTCGCCGCCTGCGTGGAAGTGTAGCCGGTGAAGGCCCGGCAGATGGACCGCCAAGTGCTGGGCGGTGTGGGACTTCCTCTGTATAGGAAAACTCAACAGTCGCCAGGTGGATTCTGATGGTCCGACGTAACGTGTGTCGATGTACTGCTGCACTTCGTCTGCCTGCGCGCTGAGAACGGCGCGATCGTGCCCCTTGTGAATATACTTGTAGAAATATTTCACGGACTTGAGAGAAGCGCAGTGCTCTATGTTCAAGTGGCAACCCAGCTTGCGCGACAGCACGGGGCTGTAAGGGACGACGTCCCGGGCGTCGATGACGTGGCCGTTTTTAACGGCCGTCCCGCTGGGGGCCCTTCGGCGGTACAGGGGGTAGCCTTGGACATTCATGCACGTCTCCTCCTGGAAGTCCCGCGGATATCGCTTCGTGCAGCGACCGTCCTCCATGCAGGGGCAAGAAGGGTTTCGGGCCCCGCGTGGGCCATGGATCTGGCTGGTGAGGATCAGCTGCAAGAGCTCTGCTTGGGCGGGGTTCTGTGGGTCTGGCAGCTCGGCTACAATGCGTCCGTCGAGCTCGTCCGGCGTGAGAGGTCGGTCCTCCTTGCGCACTATGATGAGAGCGTGGGCGTGGGGGAGCCCGCGCTTCTGGAATTTGACCACCCACGTGTACGCCTTGACGACGCCGAGAGCGTGGCGAAAGAGGAGGTCCATGAGCACATCGAGCTTCATTTTGAAAACACGGGAGATAATGTCTGGGCGATGGTTGGGCGTCTCTACTGGTCGGAGCTCGCGAGTAATCTCTGGCCATGCCGGGTTCGCCGTCATCGTGATGAAGTAGTCTGGCTTCCCATGGTGTTTAACAATCGTCATGGCGTCGAGGTAGTGCTGGAGCATGTTGCGCGGGCTTCCAGAATACGTGGCTGGCAGAATGACTCGGGTTCCGACCTTGGTGGTCCCGGCTTGGTATGTGTCGTCTGCGAGGGCGTCAACGATGCCCTGGTGCGTCTCCGCGCGCAAGTCGGCCTGGTGGTCGCGGATCCACCGCAGTCTCTGGGATTCTGCCCGACTCCAGGCGTCGCAGACCCACACCTGGAACAAGAGGCCGGCGGAATGTGGTAATCCGACGTTCGTCGCGGGCCAAGGGTCCGGTGTCTCCGCGTCGTCGCCAGGGTCGTAGCCCCGCAACATGAGACGGCGCGCATACAAGGCAGAGCAAGTCAGTTTCCGTGGGGCGCGGCCCGGCGCTGAGTTGAGGCGTAAGCCCGAATGTCAGCCGGGGTCGCCGTAAGGGAACAAGAGAGGGTACGCCAAAGGGTCTAGGTGCTCGCATGCGTCGTTGATGCGGTGCACGTCGTGAGCTTCGTCCCGAGGCCACACGGCAATGTCGCGGTGCCCGATCGAGTTGCCGTCGGTTCCCGCGAACAAGATAGACGGCTCGAAAGTGCGGGGCTTGTTGTACCTGCGCACGTCGTGATCTTTGTCGCTCTGGATCGCCATGTGCACCTCTGACCTGCCGTTCGCCTCGAGCACATCGCGCGTGGCGCGGTAGACGGGCACGTACGGGTTGAATGTGTCCAGCATGTCTTGAAGCTCGCGCATGACTGCTGCATCGATGCGGTCATTCCTGCGGTTGGCGGTTCGGAAGTGCAATGCGTCGGCAGGATCGTAGAGGTCCAGCTGAGCGTACTGAGGGTCGGACGTGCTTTGCGGGATGAGGGCCCCGGAGAAGTGGCGCGCGACGCCGTGACCTCAGCGAGCGGGTTTGGGGGGGGCCGCGAGCGGAGGAGGAAGCGATCAGGGGGCCATCGCGCAGGGGGGGTGATCTGCAGATCGGCGGTAGGGCGGGGATATGATCGGTCGGTGGAAAGGCGCACTACGCGAGCTGCACTTGATCACCGGAGGACCCGCACCTCCTCGGAGCTCGTGGAAGCAGTCAGCCCCGTGCGAGACGAAGGAGAAGGCACTGTTGTAATGTTTGAAGTGGTCGCGAGCAAGGCGGTCCGTCGAGGTGGCCCCAGAGAGGATGCGAAGGACGACGTCGGGCGGGCGTGGCTGAGGTCGGAGGACAGAGTGCGGCGCAGCGCCTCGTTGGCAGCAGATGCTGAAGTAGCCTTGGCGACGGCCATGGTTGGGCCCGACGCGCTCTTCGGGGAAGTTGCACGACCCGCATATCTCGCACTTGTCTGTCATGCGGCCTCCCAAGTGGGGCTCCACACCGGTGTCGGTGTAGTCGGCAAGTGGAAGCACGGCCAGTTGATCTCCGCGGACGCGGCCGGCATGTCGTGGGCAGAACCATCCGCTCCCGAGCCGCATGGCGCCGGCGAGCTGGCAGCCATGCCCCCATGAGCAGGCCGCGGCGGTCGGGTGCGCGGGCGCCGCGGGGGGAACGGTCTGCTTTCCTCGCAGGCGCCGTCGCTTAGATGGTGGGCCGATGTGAGGGTGCGGTAACAGGGGTCCGACATCCCCCAGCGGAGCGCCCGATGCAGCCGCCAGTGTCGGCGTGGAGGTTGGCACCTGTCCCGGGCGCGACGTGGGGGCGCCGCGGGCGAGGATGTCCCGGTGCAGGCGGCAGTAGTAGACACCAGAGTGCGGCTGAAGCAGAGCGGCTCTCCCACACTGCTCGGCAGTGCCTGGGTTGACAATGGAGCTGCACGTCTGCCCATGGCGGTGTCCACGACCACCCAGGCAGGGCAGAGAGCCGGGCGCATTCAGGGGGGCATGCCCCTGGCTCATGGCGAGCGTGGGCTGCGCGCTCTCTGGTCAGCCACCCGGCAAGTTCCGATTCGGTGGGCGATCGGGACGGCGTGGCGATGGTGGACGGGTGCGCGCCGCCGTGCGTGTCAAACCAGTCCTTGAGGCGCTGGTAGTTGTCGCCCCAGGCAATGTCCCGACCGCGCCAGTCCCAGCCGGGCAAAGCTTGGAGAGAGGTGCGTCTTTCCTGGGATAACCGCCGCGCGTCTCTCCGAGCGTTCTCCACGAAGCTTGCGAGTTGGAGTTCTGCTGGGCCTGCGGAGGATCCTCGCCGCGGGTACCTCTCTCCGTTGGCCTGGAGCCAAGAGCGGAGGCTGCGCAGAGTAGTCTCCCAAGAGTCTGCTCGGACGTTCCATGTCCATGACGTCCAGGAGTCCAGACGAGCGACCCGGTCAGAGTCCAACTCGCCTAGGCGGTGCTGCTGTCGGGCTGTGTTGATCCAAAGGGCGCAGAAGCGTTCTTCTGCAGAGGTGCTCGTACGCGAAGGCCATCGACCGTGGTGGGCGTGCCAAGCCTGGACGCGCGATAAGCTGAACAGCCAGTCGGTGTGCGCCCATGTCCGTCCGGGAAGCGCCTCGAGCTGTGTGATGCGGGCGGCGGCCACAGGGCCGCTACGTCCCGCGCCTGCTCGCGCGCGCGCGCGGACGTTTCTGATGAACGACACAAGTCGGAGCTCAGCGCGATTTCGGCTGCCGGGCTGCGGGCACTTGCCGCCGTTGGAAGAGAGCCACTCGCGGAGGTCTCGGAGACTCTGGTCCCAGGCGTCTGCATTGGCGTTCCACGTCCAGCCAGGGATGGCGTCGACCACCGCAGCCTGGTCGGTCGTTAGAGAGGGGCGCCGAGAGCGGACGTAGTTGACCCAACGGACCAAGGCCCTTTCACGCCCTCGCGCGAGTTGTCGGGGAAGGCGCCCCCGCGAGCGTGACCAGGCGGCAAGCTGCTGCGCCTGTCGCTGGAAACTGAGCCGGGTCGCACTGGATGAGGCATGCGCGCTCGGGCGGCGGCGCGTGCGCATGGGGAATGGAACGTTCCCGCTACGCTGCCACGCAAGAAGCTTCGGGCCAAACGGGCAACGTCGAAGAAGAGGCATCAGAGACAGAGGGAAGTTGACGGGGAGTGCTACGCGGGTTTGAGATAACGCCTGCCAGGGCCCGAAGGGGAGCCAAACGGAGCCCCGTCCAAGTTAAGAGCTTCGCAAAGCGTAACATATCGTTGCATGACATAGCGTGGCATAGCGTGTAGCTTCGCAACAGGGGGCCGAAGGTGAGATCCCAAGCGAGGTGAGGTTCCGACAGAGGCGCTGTGACGGGCGGAGGCCAGGGCTGAGCGCTCGGGCCTCTGAAAAGGGGAAGGCACTAAGGGAATGCAATCGGAGCCCTGTTGAAAAGGTAAGGGACAATGACGGCGACGGCGGCGACGACGACGGCGGCGGCGAAAACGACAAGGAGAACGACGGCGACGACATCGACCACGACGGCGACGCCGAACACGACGACGACGACGAAGACGACGACGACGACGACGACGACGACGACGACGACGAGCGGTCTTGAGGGCCCCTCGGGGGCACTTTTTGGCTGCACCGGGGGAGCGCCCATGGAACAGGTATCCCGCCACATTTTTCAAAGGAAAATGTTGCGGGATACTTGTTTTTTCGGTTTGGATTCTGGCCCAGTCCGGCCCTGCGGATTCCTGGTTTCTGCCGTCTTGGCGGCCCCAACTGCGGGGGCGACGACGACGCAGACGACGACGACGACGCCGACGACGACGGCGACGACGCCGACGACAACGTTGGCGGCGGCGGCAGCGACGACGACGACGACGATGACGGCGGCGGCGAGAACGACAAGGAGAACGACGGCGACGACATCGACGACGACGGCGACGCCGAACACGACGACGACGAAGACGAGGAGGTGAACGACGACGATAGGGATGTCGACGACGACCTCGTGCGGACCACTTCCGCCTCGGAGTGGCCACATGCGCAGTGAGCCTGGACCACGTCCGAAGGACTGGCTTCTCGTCCTGAGTCGTGTGTTGACGGCCCCGGGGCCCAGGAGCGACCTCGGGAGGGCGAAAGCCAGAAGAACATCTGTCATGTTTGACGGTCCCGGGGGGGGGAGGCTCGCGCGGCGGCTCTCGGCGGGGAGAGCGGGAGCAGCGGGAGCAGCCACGGCGACGATGGCAAGCACGGGTAAAAACAACAGCGGCCGGAGCAGCAGAGGCGCGAGGCGCGCCTGCGCTAGTGGTCCACCTAGCCGATCATCATGTAGCTCTTCCTCGGGCGAACCCGTGGTCCGGGCCTCGGCGTAAAGGGCTGGTTACGTCACCGCTCGCTCTGGGGAGCTGTGGATTTCAGAAATCTTGACGTTTCGGCTCGCTCTTGGGAGCCTCCGTTTGAAGAGCGCGTCACGGAGGACCTCGAGCGTGGAGCCTGGAGGATCCAAGTTCGGAGGTCCGACGGCGCTCCCCATCAGACAAACATCTGAATCCCTGGGAGCGTCGAAAACGGCTCTTTTGTGCCCGCGATATGCCTGTCGCCTCTTGTCCGCTCACCCCCTCGTGAAGGCACTTCTGAAGCCACTTAGGGCCTCGTGGGGGTCCTTTCGGGGGGCTTCTTTTGGGTCTCCTGGGGG